AAAACAGAAAGCCCCAGAACGAGAGGACTAGTGTCCCTGCAGGAGCTCGGGAGCTTCTCCTTCGGCTCTCCTTTTAAGATCTGGAGCAAGTTCTCTGAAATCAGCTCTGACACCTGAAAATAAAATCATGTGTTAATGGTGGTTTATAGAAGCTACTGTAGATAATTTCTACTTTGATTTTTTTGTCCTTTTGCTGAACACACCTGGACCTGAGGGGGATGTGAATTGTCTGGGTATGCCATCCTAGTGTGAGCAGAACCGAGACTCTGCATAAAATACTTCAAACTTTGACACAAGCTCTCAGTGCTCTGTTTATCTGACGGAGTCCATTTCTGGAAGATTCTGTTCAGCAGAGCTGAAGCTGAGGACTGCCAGGCATTTGAAATCTCCACACCCTTTGTGTTCTTCAAGCCAATCATGTGGAGACCTTTTTGCCAAACACTTTGTGGTACATTGTCACGGCAAATGAATCCTTCATAAACATGAAGCTCTGCATAAAACATTGACATGTGATCAGTTTATGCAGAAAGACTGGAACCAACACTGGTGGGCTGACATTAATATAGATGATAGATTTCCTTACCTTTAATGCTTGGGTTTAAAGGAATTTGAACACGCCTCATGGCCATTCCCCAAATCGCTTTATCTCGTTGATGTACACCATAGCAATAAGACCATACCGCACCTCGTAGTAAATCTCTTTCTTCAACACAGAGGCGTGCTTCCACCAGATAGCCTCCCTTTACTCCACTAAACATAAAACATTGAACAAGAGATTTCCATCCATTAGTAAATTCTCCACCCTTTTCCAACATGCTTTGCTTTAATCGTGTCCTTGAAGCTCTGGCTAGATCTACACTATAAAATCTACCCCATCATCTACATCCACAATTTTTTTTTTTTCTCATTCAGTTTCTTTGCTGACCATGAAGCTGCTTGCTAACCTCACTCTGTGAAGATGCAGCAGCTGTTAGATGGAGTAAACACACTCACAGATATGAGCTCTGTGTGATTATTTCAGGACTGTGTCAGTAATAAAAAAAATTAAATAACTTTTGGGGTAATTTTGTACATGTTTCTGAAAAGTTCTTTAGTATTATTTTACTTATTACAACTGTCAATATTAAAATTAGACCAAGCATTTCAGAAATGTTGCAAAGGCTCGATGTGCAACTGAAGCATGCTTATATTCTGTGAATTACAGCTTGTACATATTTATAAATACTTACACAAAGTGTGTCAGTTCGAAGGGTAAATGCACTTGTTCAAAACCCAGCACAAGCCTGTCGTGTTCTCGGTTGAATCTAAACGCTTTGTCCAGCACAGCGTAGATGTGAAAGGTGAACATAGGCACTCCGGGTGGAGGTCTCACTGGGCTTCGATCACTGTGAGTGAAAAAGATAAACGTTTAAATATGAGCTTCAGCTCCAGAGTTTAAATAAACAG